CAAACCTCAATTCCGATGTCGTCCGAATTCCGATCGTCGTTTTGAAAGCACCATCGTGTTCGTTATCGAGTCAGGAACAATCTCCTTAAATTAATTGAAGCGAAACGCTGCCAAACGTCGGGAATTTCAAGTCAAAGCATCGACGTTTTTTTAGCTCTATCGCCGGGAAAATCTCAAATTCACCGCCGATCGTTGCTCAGTTAACGACACCTCCTGCACCATCGTGTTCCTCGTGTCGTTTCGAGTCTGCCGGTGTCAACCTTGTCCGCCGTAGACGGCGGCGCGTGAGGAGGTGGAGCAGTCAAAGATTCGCCCGAGTTGAAATACGAGTTCTCTGCCGTTCAAAAATTTGAACCGATCGTTGTAAGTATCTCGAAATCGCTCAAAATAATTTTTAGAAATTTTTCCGGGAATTTTCCGACACCGTGGCACTGTTCACTCGCCGCCGCAGGAAGAGTGAGCTGCTGGAAAACCGGTTTGACCGGTTCGAACCGGTTTGACCGGTCTGAACCGACCCGTCTGATCCGACCCGACTGACCCGACCCGACCCCACTGTTGACCCGACCCGACCATTGACCGTTGACTTTCTTTGACCAAAACTTAAAATGGCTTTGACCGAGCATTAAACGACCGTTAATCTTTTCCGAGTATACCTATCCTGATAGTTTCGACGTGCCGAATCTGTTTCCGCTGTCCGTTTCATCAAATTCGAATCCGAAGGCCTCCAAATCGATGGTCAAAGTGGTTGACTTTGACTTTGACCAAGAATTTGGATTTTCGAAAAATCATACTTTATATTTTTCGACGTCCTGATTCCGATTCCGCAATCTGTTTGGCCAAATTCAGACTCGAAATACCCTAAATTGATAGTCAAACTCGAAAAATGCTTATATACTTAAGAAGTCTAGCTTTAAACAATTAAATAGGATTTGGGACTGATAGATTATTATTATTTGAAGGTACAAGAGACTCTCCGGATCGTTCGACAGCTCGACCCAACTCTTCTAGATCAGTTAAACCACGTGTGCCAGTATTCACCCGTAAGACCCGTAAATTTTTATGATTTTAGGGATCTATTTATATTACTCATAAGTAATATAGTGTTATTGTTAAATAGGTTCGAAAACTGTAGCTGAGCGTGGTGAAACCAGCAATCGGTAGATTTGCTATTTGAACCTATTATCGAGGTGTGTTCCCTACTTATTGCTGAATTGTTTTATTGTTTTTAATATGTGGTACACCGAATTCATTGGTTATTGTTTTATGGATGCACCAATTTAATGTGACAATTTATGGAATATGGCTGCTATTTAATTTTCGTTTTGAAATGGGCTATGATTACCATGTTTTTGAATTTATGGAATTTATGTCACGGTGCAATTGAATTTTGGAATTGAATTACGATGGAATAGCTCTGATCAAGCTAACTGGGCCTAATGTGACTCTTGAGGGCCCCAAGATGTTTCATTAGGTCGGCCTTCCTTTTCTGTGTGCTTAGGGTAAGCCATATGGACTTATTGACTTGGGCTTAAGGATACAAGCTTCATAGCCTATCCTTAAGTCGGCTTTCTTTTTGCTATGTGCATAAAGTAAGCCATATGGAAAATAAATTTTGGAAACTACTGATGGTGTACCAGAAAAAAAAGGGTTTAAACTATGGTTTTCAAAAGTTAAACTCTTTTACGAATTTGTGGGATTACTGGACTATGATTTGTACCTATTATGATTTTATGGAAATGTTGGGACACACTGAGCCTAGCTCACCTTTCGAAACTGTTTTCCCCATTCAGATACTGTTGGTTAGATACCTCGGTTCGTGCACTTGGAGGATCAACATATCTCTTGAAGTAAATCAGATTGTAATGTTTTTATCTTGCAAGTTAACTTTATTTTGGTGACATGGACCTTATATTAAAATATCAGATTTTATAACGATGACTCTTTTACTATTACGGATCGGTTTATTGTGATTTTGAATTTGAAGACATGTTTTAAATTAATTTATTACTTATTTGTACTATATTTACGAGTTGGATTTTGATAGTATAATCTGTTTATAATTTCATGTTATTTATAATGTGATTTTATATTGATGGAACAACGGTTTCGGAAAATGTCTTTAATAATCATAATGTAATCCACTAGACTTAGTCGAAACGCATAGGCCGGGTCTAGGGGGTTACAAGTATTCTCTAAGGCGAAGTTAGAGATGGTAAGAAACATTAAGAGATTGTTCTCTGCGTTCTACGGAATTATAAAAACTTTTAAATTAAAGGTTATTGTATTTTTTTTAATTTGTGATAATATGAATATTTTGTTTGTGCTAAGTCTTCAGTGGTGTCCTACATTTGGATGAATAGACCCTTATACCATTCTTGTGCTATTCTTCAACTAGACTCAAAGTCTTTCATACCCTCAAAAAAAAGGAAGAAAAAGGGATGTTTTGATGTTATAAATGAAACAAATTAGATTAGTAAATTATTTTGAGTTAATTAATTAATGAATCAGATATTATTAATAAATATTTAAAGTCAAACATAATTTTTGACTTTATGTGTTGGGAAAACACTTACCAAGAAATTAAGGAGCAAAGAAAAACATAATAAAGTAATTATGTGTTGGCAACTTACAATTGCTTAAAGCTTAAGGTGGCAGCAAAGAAATTTCTACAACAAAGAAGAGAAGTTTAAAACGACAAGGAAAATTACATGAATGTGAAAATGTCCATTTGGAAATTGAAGACAATTACAGCAAGGAATAACAGTAGCTAAGACGGTTTAATAAGGCTATATATATGTGTATGTGAGTAGTGGGTGAAAGAAAGAAAACCGAGAGTTAGAAAGTGAAACTTAGCAAAGATTCGAATATCGGGTTGTGTTTGTAAACTAGCTGCAGTTAGTGTTCGTATAGTATTTGTTTGGTTCATATTAATAATAGCATGTTAGTTATAAAATTACCGAAAGTTCATTCACGCTTCCAACAATAAAAATATAAAATAAATATCATTTCAACTCAAATGTCTTGCAAGTCACACTCGAATGAATGAAAAAGGAGAGATTTTTCAAATACTTCACAATGTTTACCTAGTTGAACCCATCGTCTCAAGAGGAAAATGAGAGAGAACTTATCAAGGGGCTTCAGTGGTAAAATGAAATGTTGCTCTACCTAAAGGTCTTGGGTTCAAATAGCTACCTCTGTAAGGAGTGTGTGCGATGTTAATAGTTTAAGAAAATTTTAAATAAATACTACCATGTAATCACTCTAAATTAAAAAAAGAAGAGAGGAAGACAGATAGAAAGAGGGGCTTGAGATTTCTAACAAATTGCAGACCTTGACTGGGACAGTTCATCTTTTATAGTCATGTCCTTTTTACACGACAAAAGATATTTAACTCAAAGTCTCAATTCGTGTTTTTATCAAAGAATATTCAGCCGCCGTGATCGTCGTTCTAACTTAAAATACTAGCATATTTGCCGTTTAAAATACAATACATGTTTGTTTTTATTTGGAACCGACATGCTTTTCAAGGCAACCTCTTGGTATACTGAGGTTGTCTTGTCCCTTCAGTGTTTACTCTTAATTTGGACTTCATTGTTTCTTTACTTATTTGATATTTAAAGAAAAATTACCATAAAAATATTAGGTAAACTTTAAATTCATATTTGATTTGATTAATAAATATAATATATACAACACCAATTATATTATAATGTTTATAAAAAAGGAAACACTAATGTCATGTGACATATAAAGAAACTGATATATAAGAAAAAAGATACATAAACAATGTATTGTTTGTCTTTGGCCTTGGTCACATTTCTCTTTCTCTGGGAGATTATGACAGTCTTTTACTTGTAAAAGGGTTGAAGTCTTCAGTTGTGACAAAGTATGAAATTACTTGTTGGAAAGGGTGGCCATTCGTTTGAATTAATCCCTTTCCAATGTCGCGTAATAGAAGGAATCGAGAGCAGCCGTGAAGAGTAAGTAATAGGCATGTAAACGAACTGAACAGAGTATGCTCATGTTCGTTCATTTAACTTTAACCGAACAAATGAACGAACACGAACATAAACGAACAAATTTTTTTTGTTCGTTAAGGAATGTAGCTTGTTCGTGTTCGTTCATGTTTGTTCATTTAAATGATGAACGAACACAAATGAACGAACATAAACGAACGGATGTAAACGAACATAAATGAACACAATAAATGAACACAAATCTAAATGAACACAATAAATGAACATAAACGAACGTAAACGAACATAAATGAACAAAACAAACGAACATAAACCACAACAACAATAATCACATAAAATTCATTAATATAAGTTGCAACTTCATAGTTAATTTGTATTTAATTGTTATGAGATTTTCTTATTTGTATTTATAATTAATTGAATTTTAAAATATTAATGGGTATCAGATTAAAATTTATTGGGCCTTAATACTTTAAATAGGTCTAGAGAGATTGAGCTAAATATAAATAAACAAACATAAACGAACGAAAGTAAACAAACATAAACGAACATATTATCGAACGTTCACGAACATGAATGAACGAATGAGCCATCTGTTCGTGTTCATTCATTTAATTAAACGAACACAAAATCTTGTTCATGTTCGTTCGTTTAATAAATAAACGAACATAAACGAACTTTCCACCGAACGGTTCACAAACGGTTTGCTGAACGTTCGGTTCGTTTACAGGCCTAATAAGTAACAAATGATACTGATTGATGAATATGTCTAATTCCAAATGATACTGATTGATGAATATGTCTAATTCCAATCAAAATTAGATTCTCAATGGGATGTATGGACCGCTGATGTACTGGAGACCAAGTCTTCCATTTTTGGCCTTTTCTTTTCGTGTACAGGTAATTGTGCGTATTTCTTATTCAAATTGTGAGTCGAAGGATATCGTGTCTAATTATTTAGAATCAAAGTATATAAAGAGCATCGACCTAACAATAGAGAAGCATTAAAACTCAGTTGTTTCTCTCTTCATGATTTGCATTTTACCCACACCCAACCTTATGGCAAAAACTCCCTTCCTCATCCCTCTTATGTTTCTCCTGTTATTTGCAACCTTCAGGGCTACTCTGTCGGCCAACATCACCATTGATGAATTCGCCCTTTTAGCCTTAAAATCCCATATAACTCATGATCCGCACAACCTCCTAGCAACCAGCTGGTCCACTTCTGTATCTGTTTGCAATTGGATTGGTGTCACTTGTGGATCCAGACACCACAGAGTCATTGCTCTGAATTTGTCAATTATGGATCTCACGGGCACCATTCCATCTCAATTGGCAAATTTATCTTTCCTTGGCTGGCTCGACATTCATAACAATAGTTTCCATGGCTCTTTACCTACCGAGTTAACTAATTTGCATCGGCTGAAATATTTGAACTTTGGTAGCAACAGCTTCACTGGTGTTATCCCATCTACTTTGGGCAATTTGTCAAAATTAGAAAGGCTGGTCTTGTATAGCAACGATTTCAAAGGGCAGATTCCTATAACAATTGGAAATCTATCAAACTTGGAACAGTTATATCTGGATTATAATTCTTTTTCAGGTTCCATTTCTTTCTCGATCTTGAATATATTTTCATTAGTTAAAAGTTGTTTTATAACTAACAATCTCACTGCAGGCTATCTAGAGTCGAAAATATTCGATAGCCTTTCTAATTTGCAAGAATTAAGGTTGGATGGTAATCAGATTTCTGGTAGCATTCCCAGCAGTTTATACAAGTGCAAAGAGTTGAGGTATATATCATTGTGGAACAACTCTATGGAAGGAAGTATACCTATAGAAATCGGAAATTTGACGATGCTCCAATCTTTGTATCTTGGTTACAACAACTTCAAAGGTAAACAATTGTTTTTAATATTAAAGCTCTATTATAGAAATTGAGGGTCTGCTAGAAAAATATTAATAAATTTTGACGGAATTTAATCATACGTTTCAGGTGAAATTCCATCTGTTATTGGAAACCTTACTTCTCTTAAGCATATTGGCCTTTCTCATAACAACTTCTCAGGTAAAGATATGCTTAAATTGTAATTTAAACTATTTAGAGCTTTTATAAATGGTAAAATTATGATTTTGACGAATTTATTATATATTTCAGGTGAAATTTCATCGAATATTAAGAATCTTATTTCTCTTGAGTATATTGACCTTTCTAATAACACCTTAACAGGTATAATATCACATTTCTATTTTTTTTCCTCTTATACAATTCATTATTTTGCTCAATATTAATAATTTTTTTCCTTTCTAATAAGGAAATGGCTTCTCATTACAAATCTTTTGTACGTTTCAGGTGAAATTCCATCGATTATTGGAAATCTTACTTCTCTCGAAAGGATTTACCTTTCTAAAAACAACTTAAAAGGTACCATATCGTATTTCTTCTCTTTTCTTGTACAAGTTCTATTATTAGTCATGTAAACATTTTTCAACAAATTGGGTTTAGATGAATTGAAATAATAGATTAAAGGTTGGATTGATACAATTTTTTATGTGGGAATTTTATCATAGTTTTAAGTGTTTTCTTTTCATTATGCTGGAAAATTGAAGTTTGGTTATTTATTCCGCAGGTTCTATTCCTTACTCAATCTTCAACATTTCCTCGTTGCAAGAGATTTCACTGGGATACAACAATCTCTTTGGTTATTTCTCTTCCGATATGTTTGATTATCTTCCTCGATTACATTATCTTAATTTGGAATATTGTCAACTTTCTGGAAGAGTTCCAATGAGTTTATTCAAAAACAAGAGTTAAACTTTTTGTTTTGGATAGTAATAATTTGGAGGGAATTGTGCCAGTAAAAATCTCAAATTTGACTTCACTCAAGTATGTCTCTATCGAAGATAACTACTTATCAGGTAAGCTAAATAACTCATCTTGCTTTAATGATGTACTTAAGACATAGATGAGTTACTAACCATTGAACATTTTTTAATAATAAATATTGTTGTAATTTGTTTTAACTTTTTATTTAGTTTCTTCACCATAATAATATTTTTAGTAACTTTATTTATATGTTCCAGGAAAAATTCCATCAGTTATTGGAAACTTGACTTTTCTCGAGGAATTTGAACTTTCTGATAATAACTTAACAGGTATAATATTATTTTCCATTTTTCTTTACTTAGTTACATGTTAGTATTAGTAAGCTTTACTTAGTTACATCTTCCTTCAATAGAGTTATTTAATCAAAATATTTTATTTTTAAATTACAAACATTATTTATTTGTTTAAAAGATGATCCAAACTCCTAATTTTAACTCTGTTCCAAATTTTCTGCAAGGCCAAATTCCTCCCTCATTATGCAATCTGAGTTCCCTTAAGGTTCTCTTCTTATACAAGAATAGTTTGGATGGAGAAATTCCTGATTGCATTGGAAACATGAGTTCTCTTTCACACATTGACCTAGAGAAGAATAATTTTCATGGTAATATACCAGAAAATTTTGGTAAGAGTTGCACCTTACACAGTTTTCGAATCAGCGACAACCAAATAGAAGGGTCACTGCCACGATCTTTGGGTAATTGCAAAGAGTTGAAGCTTCTCGACGTTGGAAACAACTATTTGAATGACACATTCCCAAATTGGTTAGGAAATTTGGATCAACTGCAAGTGCTTATCTTGAGATCGAACAGATTCTATGGTGAAGTGGTTAGCTCAGGAGTTACAGTTTCCTTCACTCGTTTACGTCTCATTGATATTTCTCATAACAATTTCAGTGGCTATTTACCTATGAAATATTTTGAAAATTTGCATGCCATTAAAGAAGGGAATGGAAAAAAAGATAAACCAGAGTACATGACAGATGGATCAGCATTGGGAGTGTGGAATTATGCCATCAACATATCTTTTATAATAAAAGGGTTGGAAACAGAGTTTGAGGAACTGCTAACTATATGGACAGTTATTGATTTTTCCAGCAATCAGTTCTACGGAGAAATTCCTAAAACACTTGGAGAGCTTCACTCACTTATTGTCTTGAATCTCTCTCATAATTGTTTAACAGGTCATATTCCATCATCATTAGGTGATTTATCAGAGCTTGAATCATTAGATCTCTCATCAAACAAGCTCCATGGAAGAATTCCAACAGAGTTGAAAAATCTTGGGTTCTTAGCAGTGTTGAACCTTTCTCAGAATAATCTTGTGGGGCTCATTCCTCAAGGCAAACAATTCGATACTTTCACAAATGATTCCTACATAGGAAACCTGGGTTTATGTGGATTGCCATTATCAAAAAGTTGTGATAATGAGAAGGGAACTCCAGCCAAATTTGATAGAGATGATGATGATGGAATGAACTGGAAATTTTCAATATTGATGGGGTATGGATGTGGGTTGGTGCTGGGACTGAGTACGGGATACATTGTCTTCGCAACTGGAAGACCACGGTGGTTCATTAGGACCTACGAGAGAGTTCGACAAAGATTTGCAAAAAGGGTAAAAAAGAGAAGTCGTTGACCGATTTTTGTTGCAAAACAAGCAGTGGACTGGACAGAGCAGAAAACTTCAAGGCATGGTGGTCGGAAGCAATGACCGATCCAGAAATTCGAAAATGAGATCCAAAATTTTAATATACCTTTTTTTTAAATAGAAATTGAGTATACAAATTTCTTTTATTTTTCTCTCTTTTCCTTAATACATTAAACTAGTATTTACAATTTTCCAAAATAATGGGATGCACTTGCTCCCTAAGGACTTAATCCATCTGCCCCTGGTTCAGGTCCGTCTCGATAGCTGTCTTATATATAATTTCCATAACCTTTAGTAGTGGACTTACCCAAATCACTTTTGTCACCAGTATATTCGGCTAGTGTGAAAAACGTATAGTAATTTCCCTACCATGTTACGATACTCGTGTTCATCTTTAAGTGGACTGACTGCATCCTCTCACAAATCAGATGCTGTTTCTTATAAACAAAGGAATGAAACAAAGATGGATTTCTACAATTATAAAATTGAATAAGAAAGTACTCATCCACAGAGCTGACATGAACACCTCAACTAATTCATACATAAGCATGCATGATATTTTGAATACGGATATTAGAGTGAATCTAATTGTATGTTTCAGGTGAAATTCCATCGGATATCGGAAATCTTATTTTTGTTGAGGTGATTAACCTTTCTTCATACAACTTAAAAGGTATTGTGCAATTCTTTCTTTTGCTCGATAGAAAGCCATAACAGAAAATTTTGAAAAAAAAACGGCTTAATTTGAAAATCAAACCTACCAATAAAGAATTCAATAAGGATTGTTCCATTAACAGCACCTTTAGATCATATTTTTTGCTCGGCAATTTGATATTATTTAATATCTTAAACGTCTAAAACCAGATTATGTGTCTCGTTAAAAGCCTTTCTAATCCTAGTTGAAGGAAAAGAGTACACACAACCTGGAATAAGACTAGATACAAAGGACCATCGCAACCAAAATACAAAATACACGTCTTCCATTCAAACCACAACCATGTTCATATTTGGAGCTATCATAAGCAGTAAAAAATGAATGACATTTTCATATTTAAAAAGAAAAAAAAAAGAAACAAAGGATAACGTGATTAATCATATAAACATTTTCTTTAACAAATTGGCTGTAGATGATATAAAATCATTGGTTAAAGGTTGGATTGATACAAATCTTCTACATTTTATCATAGCTTAAGACTCGTTTTTTCTTTTAGTATGCCTCAAAATTGAAGTTTGGTTATTTTTTGCGCATGTCCTATTCCAATGAGTTTATTCAAATGTAAAAAGTTAGAACAGTTGTATTTGAATTATAATCATTTGGAGGGGATTGTACCATTAGAAATCTCAAATTTGACTTCACTCAAGCTTTTATTCATCCAAGAAAACAATTTATCATGTAAGCTTAATAACTCATCGTGCTTCAATATAGAGGAGTTTCATGTCAAAAAATATAGAGAGAGCGAGAGGAATTATTTGTTTTGTAATACCCAAAATTCGATTAGTGACCGAAATGAAAATTTAGTGACCAAAGTATAAATTTAAAAAAGTTTATAGATTAAAATAATATTTTTCTGAAAAAAAAATTTATCTCATAAATGAATAATTTATTCTCAAGAATTTAATTTTGGTGTTACGCGGATTTTTTTCCTATAGTATGAAAAGACTCTTGATTTGGAGTTGGGTAGAATTTGTTTTGATTGAATGAATAACCAAACAAAACAATTCAAACCAATTATTTTTTAATTTGTATTATTCATTAATATAAGAAAACAAATGTCATATTGTCATCGACTCAATTTTATTTTAAATATTTATTTATCTATTTATTCTAATGTCTGTACTCAGTACTTGGCCCGCCTATTTTTAATTTTAAAACTTTCAGGTATGGTTTTTTTTTCTTCTTTTTTTGATAAATTCAGTTTAAAACCTTATTTTTGCATGGATTCAAATAGCGGCCATATAGCGGAATAACGATTGCTATATAGCGGTTGAGGTGGTGCTCGAAACCGTTATAGCAGAAAATAGTGGTTTGCAATGAAATCACACCAATAATGGTGGCTCACGGTCGGAATTTAACGGGTAACGGTCAATAGCAATAACAGTGGGCCGCTATTCCCGTTATTATTTTGTTAGAAATAAAAAACCAACAAGGGAACGTTTTAGACTCAACTTATAGTACTGACCAAAACAGAAATACATTGAAAGTTGGAGACATGACGAGTAGTTTACCCTTTATTTATTAACATAGATAATTATCTCTCAACTCACAATATAAGGATGGATCGGGAACACAAACATCTTCCTTGCAACTAAGAACATGTAACCCCCACAGACCGATAAGGGTAACCAGATCCGATCCGGAGTGTCACATTTGGGCCACCGGAGTGATCCACTGTATAAATAGCGGAAAAATTAAAACTTTTATTGAAACGTGTAACTTATAAAATCAGTTTTCACTATTTAAAAATAAAACATATTTCCAGACTCGTATATAAATCAAAATACAATTACATGCCCCCTAATCACATGTACCATACTCTGCAACAACGCCGGAAGAACTCCCATACTGAAGTAGATAGCTGCACTGATACAATTCTTTTAACCTGCAATGTTGAGTAATAGAGTGAGCTTCGGAAAGCTCAGTAATACAGAACTACCAGATGATGCTGAAGAACGTGCAGATACAAATAAACATATATTTCCTTAATGATCCATATATTTACAGACCTTTATGTTGAGCAGAGATCCTACTGATATTTTAGGTGGTAATGGATAATGAGCTTTTAGTTCAGAGAAATATTTCGGATGTTTAGGTTCAGGAGATCAGAATAGGTTATCTAGTGTGTTCCCAAAAATCATGTAACTTTTCAGATCTTTTTAAAACATATATATATATACCCCCATCCGTCAAGTCCAAAATGTGTAGGTTCCCCAGAACCATACACCCACCGTCAAGTCCAGTAGGCCCTGAGCACACAGCCGAGGAGCCGGTAAGTAAGGCCCTGAGCACACAGCTGATGAGCCTCCAGGTATACTTCCTCCAACATTACCCCCAAGTAAAATATGTCCGTCCGTAAACGGATATATCAAAAATCAAAACATAAATCAGGTCAAGTATCATATCAGAATCCATGTCAGATATCAGATCATAATCCATGTCAAGTATCAGATCAGAATTCCAATCGAAAATCAGATAAAATATTCATGTGAGTAGGGAACATGTAACACCCATAACCCGTATAATTATACATATACAGATTATAGATGTCACCTGTATTTTCTAAATCCATTTCAACATTCAAAAGCGAATTAAAATTTATTTCCTTAAAATAGTAAATGATATTATAAAAATACCATGTCATATAAATCATATTTCGTTGTAACCAATTTAATTTAAAAGATTTATTTTATATGAATAGTAAATAGTACCCGTGAACAGTAACCATGAATAGTGGGGGAATCGATTCCCTGTAGCAGGAGAATCGGTACCCCTTTTACATACTGGAAAAATTTGCTTAAAACGGGGTTACTGTTCATGCTACAGTACTTTCCAAAATTTCATATAAATCTCATAAAAATTAACTTTTCATCACTATAACAATTTCCAAAATTTATTCAACAAAATAAATTTAACATTATCAAATTACATGCCACTATCTAAATCAAATTCCATCATAGGATGTCTTACAGATATTGCAATATACCTCTCGATGCTTGATGGCGTTTTGAACTCTTTATTCTTATTCTTTGCTTTTTACCTACGCGTGAAAATCATCACACACTAAGTATAAACTTAGTGAGACAATTAAAACATTTAACAGTGCAATACAATTCATGCATGATTTTCAATGTCAAAAATTGAGTTTCCATAAAATCATTTTACCATGATCAAAATAATATAAAATCCCTTACCATTTATCCCATAAGCTCGTAAGCTTATTTTACCAAAATACTTACCAATATTCCAAAAGCTCGTAAGCTTATTTTACCCATATACTTGCCATTATTCCAAAAGCTTGTAAGCTTATTTGTATGCTTACCATTTATTAAGCAATAAACCATAAACCATAGCCTATAGCCCCCTGGGTATTCGAGTAATATTTGCACCGTAGTGCTACACATAAGGTCGTGCCCACCATATACACCGAAGTGTATTACACATAAGGTCGTGCCCACCATATACACCGAAGTGTATTATAAACATGCAGCTGCTATACTCTATGGCATGCCAACTATACCCTGTCCCTCAATGACTTACTTGGGCATATAGTCTATTTTATTCGATCCATCCATGGCAAAGTATATTATCAAATTTAACATTGGGCAGTTCATACCCGAAAACATTCATGATAAAATATCACATTTTTCCTTCATGGTCAATGCATTTTAATTTCATACTCTGACATCTCAATGTCAATTTATAAAAATGATATAAAATCATGCTGATATAAACAAGGTCGACTTATCGCAAGTCTTCCTTATGATGTATAAAACATCCATGTATAATTTCATGCATGTATTGCACTCACCTTGACACTTTATGTCTTTCAAAATATATGAGCCTCACTATTGTCCAAAATATACCCTTTTTATACTTGACTTGCTTCAATTGCAAATCAATCATGATCTGTATAAATCACAAATTTATAACAATACATATGTTAGTATTGTACTAACATAACCATATCCCAAAATAATTCCATAGCATACTTCAAACTCATTTCCCCCAAATAATTCAGTACTTATTAATTCCTTTAACATTGGAACCCACTTTTCCAATTTACTCAAAATGGTCCTTCACCATTTTATCACCTAGATTCTTAATACCAAAAATTCCAGTATTGAAATTATTTCACATCTAACATTCATTTCAATTCCTGAACAATAATTTCCAGCATAGTACATCAATTATACAACACTTACACAACAACCCATTAATTTTCCAGAATTCAGACAACTCGTACTACCCTTAAAGAATCATTATTCTGTATTGATATAGACACTGGAATTCAATTCCATTTATTCCGTTAAAAACTAGACTCGAATAAAAATCTATCCATATAAAGAACTCCTTCTAATTCATTCTGTACAATTTATGGTGAATTTTCAAAGTTCACCAACAGAATCTGTTTTGTACAGAATTCTGCTGTCCGACTTTTCTGACCTTTCTTCAGTTAAAAATTCATATATATTTGTATACAACTTGAAATTGACCCCTTTTTGTTTTAAACAAAACTAGATCCATATATGAATACAATATATAAAAATAACCTCCAAATTATTTTTATATATTTTCTGGTGAATTTTCGAACCTACTGCCAGAATCAAAATCCAAACTATTTTTTTAACTTCATCCTTAGGTTCTTCATCATTTCTTACAACCTCAAAATCATCAATAATCATCATCAATTTCAACAACCATAGTATAAACCCAAATTTTCAGATTTAGAGATATTTGAAATCAAGCTATATTATCATGCAATATTGGTACCAAATGATAGAGTTTTTCACATATAACATTTTTCTTTTTACAACTTACTCAAAATCCTAAGTAAATTGCTTGAGAATTGAGTTAAGGCTTGCTCTTACCTTAGGAAAACCCCACGTCTGGTTTTGGAGAAGAAGATGAGCATATTTTGTTGAAATGTGGAAAACATTTCATCTTAATTTACCTTAAATTCCACTTGAATGAATAAAATATTCATTTAATTGAGATAAGACCAAATCACCTTTAATGAATCTCCTTCATTACCATAATACCATGACAACTCATCCTTATCATATTTCAAAGTCAAAGATAAAATATTTTGACTTTTAAATTCCGAAATTTCCCTTGAATTTTCAAAAATTGCGTTTTAGTCACTAAATTCCATTGTTTCGGTTAAATCTGAAAATTGTACATTTTCAAACCAACTTTCTCTGATCTAAAATATTACAATAATATTTCCAACCATTTTATAACATCCTTCAAATTTGTAAAATTCCAATTCGATCGGAATTTACCGATTCCTTACCGGCTTTAACTCATTCTTTACTAAATTCAAAATCCAACAATATGGTTTCCATAAAACTCCAATCTCAAGAGTAAACCATATATTTATGGAATAAAATTCTTTTTAGGAAATTTATCACTTAATTCCCTATACTTTTCCCAAGTTTTATACTTTGACCATCAAACTTTTAAAATTTCCATTTTGGTCATTGTCTAAATTTTTGGGGTATTACAATTCTCCACTCCTTAAGAAAATTCGTCCTCGAATTTTAAAACTTTCTATGAAAACACTAACTCCTATTTTATAATGATTGCACTTTCCATTGCAAATTCGTAAAGATTATGCAAATCATTATATTTGGAAACTATTTAATCCAAACCTTCAACTTGATATGAAAATATCTACACATTTTCATATTATCCTTTCTTTCTCAAGTAATGTCCTCGACATTATGATTTTGCTAATTTACTTTGACTAGAGAAATCGTCTTGTTAAGTAGTTCCTTAATTTCTCAAGCTAAGATCCATATTGATTCTTTTTCATAAATCAAATCTGGTCGGATCTTAATTTCCTTTGATGCAATGACATGTGAAGGATCTGATCAATAGTTTTTTAAGCATCGACACATGAAAAATGTCTGGATAGGTATACTCGGTCGAAGTCAAAGGTCATTTAATGCCCGGTCAAAGCCGGTCAAAGTTTTGGTCAACGATGGTCAACGCCGATCAACGGGTCGGGTCGGGTCGGGTTATGACCGGTCAAACCGGTCAACTATGCACCAAAACCGGTCACTTTTGTCTTCCCCACGCGCAGTGGCGGCGCGTGAACAGTGCCCTGATATCGGAAAATTCCCGGAAAAATTCCTAATTAAGCGATTTCGAGATACTTACAAAGCTCGGTTCAAATTTTTGAACGGCGGAGAGCTCGATTTCAACGAATCGGATACTTTGACCGCTTCACCTCCTCACGCACCACCGTTGACAGAGACCAAGGATGACACCGGCAGACTTGGAACGATGCAAGGAACACGATGGTGCGGGAGGTGTCGTAAACGGATCATCAGATCGTCGTGAATCGATGAAAAACCAACTAAAACCGAGTTATTACCGACGATACTTCCGACTGAAATTAACGACGAACGACGATGATTCATGACGAAAGGCTTGAGGGGTTTTGTTCCTCGATTGACAACGAACACGATGGTGGTTTCGGCTCGTCGATCGGAGGTCGGACGGTGAGTAGATCGGAGTTGAAAGAAGAGTTGTTGGAGAGGGAAAACTGGAAAAATTTTCCAGAAACATACGGGAATGGGGAATTTATATCATCTCATAAATAAAAATGGTTAAACCAAGAGTTTAGCCACTGAACTTCCTGTACTTCATAAAACGGTCTGCTAACTTTAAAATTTGACAATTTAACCCACTGTTTCTTTCAAAATACCAATTAAATCCACCACTTTATAATTTCTTAATTTTAGCCCCCAATTTGTTACAGAACACCTCCAACGACAACACCTAGAGTGAATGAAAACAACACTAAGAAATAATAAGATTAAGATAACTTGGCTCGTTGAAGTGAGCATGCGTCAGCCACTGAAATTTTATAACATCTCATCTAATTAGATGATGATAGCATAAACATGACCTACTATAACATCTTATCTAAGCAGTAATGATTACTAATTTTTTTACATAAAAAGGTGTGTCGTTAAAGTACCACTTCTGCTGAGAGAAAATGGAAAAAGAGTGCATCATAAGAACTATTATCCAGCCACAATGTAAAAGGTGCAAAGTAATGAGTAGGGTTCATTGCCCGAACGAAGAACATAAGAAAACACACTGAAAGTTTCGACACAAAAGGCTAATTTATCAATCATGTTCCCAAGACTGGATAATGTGGATCCTCTGTCTGTTGGGAGTTTCACAATAACAACTGCATCATTCTCCAAATGAAAATTACTGAACTGCAACTCCAACACAGGAAAAAGAAAGGGGTTGATTAAAATGGTAAAGAAACAACAAAAGAGAGAATGATGTCGAGATATTACCTGTTACCTTGTACCATCCTTTCTTTTCTGAACTAGAACCACCCGCCTATGAACTCTATCTTCAACTCCGAAGGCGGCTTTAATGCTTTGATTACATTATCTTCCTTTATATCTCCATCCAAATTTATTCTAACATTGCTGAGACTCTTCTTGTTCGAAAGGTTGGCTCTGATAGCCTCATCTGCATCAATCGCATTTCCTACCAGTTTCACACGAACATCTCCACAAAGGTGGTTCAACTCTTCAAAATCTCCGAGACTGAATTCCTCTGCATCATTCTGATCAACTATAACAATGACATTGGTTAATTCCCTCAGAGAAGTTAAGCAGCCAATTCCTTTTGGATAGAAAGTTATACTACAGCAATACCAGGTATAAAGATACCTCAATCTCATCAATTTCCCGATTCCGTCCGGTAACTTCGTAATACTACTACATCCAGTTAGATCCAAAGATTGCAAATCATATAAGTCACAAATGTTTCTGGTAGTATCTTCAATTCTTTGCTGCCAGCTAAGCTAAGGAACTTCAGATTTATTAATTCATAAATTTCCTCGGGAAATTTACGGAGTACATTACCTTGTCCACATGGTCCAAAACAATTATGCCATCCGCTAGACAAGCTCAAATCCAATAACCTGAGATGTTTGGATTGTTTACATAAGTTAGATAATGCTCTACTGGTTATCAAACACCCTTGACTAACAGCAACAAGAGTCCGCAATTTCTCTGCACCGCTAATGTCCACAGGGAAACCAACTCCCTGGGCTATCATCACCATTAAATGACGAATGCTAATAAGAGGAAAATATGACGGCAGAGGAGGACAAGATGAATCTAGAATCAATGGCGGATCACAAGATGAAGCTAGAATTGAAGTTCCAGAATCAGAAAGAGTTTTCATCTGCTTTGGAGCTGGAGCTGAATCAGGAATCACACGCTTTATAGATTTGACCTCCTTAGACGTCCTAGCAGAAGTTAAGTCCAACATCATATGTTCAACAGATCGGATCTCCACCATTAGTTCAGATTGGAACAGAAACCGAAGAAAGTCGTGTACGGTATTATGCATCTTCCATGTATGGATACCACCATTCCTGCAAAAATCTTGTAAAAATGAATGAGCTACTAAACATTTAAAGTACGCTTCACCTTTTAGCTCCATTACTGAATCATCGGATGAGTTTAGATAACCGTGTGCCATCCAGTGTTGGACTAAAAGAGTTCTCGACATTTCAAAGTTTTTGGGAAAGATAACACAATACAATAAGCATTGCCTTATTGACCAAGGTAGATCACAATAAGATAGCCATAGTATTTTAAAGATATACTTGGGTATCATAAGAGATTCCCATATATAGTTTTCCAGAACACTGTTCCACTCTCTTTTTTCAATTTTATGCTGCAAGACACCTCCCAAAACCTTTGCAGCAAACAGTGATCCTTTACATTTCTTTGCAATTTTCAATCCTATATCTTCTACATATTTATGACTATCTTCATTCCGTCCATTGAAGGCAACTTCACGAAGTATCATCCAACACAATTCATCAGGCAACTCTTTCAGATGAAATATATAAGATGATTTCGTTTCTACTGCAAATTTGTGTTCACAAGTAGTAATTACAATCCTACTCTCTGGCATGCCATGTTGAAAAACAGATTTAAGTACTCCCCAGTCATCATAATCATATCTCCCCACGCCATCTAAAACAAGAAGGGTTTTCTTGTCGACAATCTTTCGATAAATTCTATCTAAAATACCTTGCAATGGAAAAAATGTTAGAATGCACAAGAATTCATGTTTCAAGCCCTCAAGAGCTTGAATGACTGCTCTACCAATTTTGCCTAAGTCGGAATCGTCTGAAACGTTCACCAAAATTATGTTGTTGAAGCTTGCCACGACCTGCTCATCTTCACAAATGCATTGAGCAAGAGATGATTTCCCCATTCCGTCCATGCCAACAATAGAGATGGTTTTGATTTTGTCGCTCCTCTCTTTACTACTTTCGCCCAAAATTACATCCATTATATCTTTCTTTACCTGGTCTATACCAAGTAACTTCGACACTTCAAGGTCCAGCAAAATAGATTCTGGTCCAGGAGAAAGCTTAGATCTCAAATCCATCAACTCTACTTCCAACTTAGAAATGGATGATTCAAAAGGATCATTAACCACATCTATAATGTCCGGATCAGAAGGATCAGTTTTTTCTTTACTAGCCTTAGTTTCAACTGCTTCTACCAGTAATCTACTTCGCATCAATTGATTGTTAAAGTCGCTAAACATGTCTTCTATATCGTATAATAGATCATCAAGTACATATCCGTCAATCTCAAGCCTCGACAGCTGAACGGACAATGGCCAATCCTTTAATGCATTCATCTTGGACCGAATAGCTTCCAGACGAAGTACAAGCGAGTCCATCTCACCCTGAAACTCTGTCACATCTACAGAGTCGCGTACATTTTCGTCAGCTTTGATTGCATGTACCAGCTCCAGGATTGCAGAAACAAGTTCTTCGGCCATCCTAAGAGAAACAAACAGCGAGAGAAGCGATTAGTTAAGCAAGGGGACGTTTCTGCAATCCTGAGACCCTTAATTAATAATTTATATTTTTATTAAAAAATATAATCATTAAATTGATTATTTTTAACTTAATTAATAATTTATCTAATTATATATATAATCATTAAATTGATTATTTTTAACTTAATTAATAATTTATATTTTTATTAAAAAATACATCATAACTTAATATATTTTTTAATGAATTTAGGATATGAATCTATTATTAGTTCTTATCATCGTTGAGATTATATGTGGACGTTTTAGCTCTTGAGTAGTATGCATGAACATTGTTTCCCCTCCTGATTGTAAGAATAGATAGCATGCTTATCGTGTATATATAATTTTTTTATTTTGTTTTTCTTATATATATTAAATTAAAAGAGTGTTCGAGTATAGAATTAAATAGATCACTTATTGATTGTGCTACAAACAGATAAATTATGGAGACAAGAAAATTTATAGATTATTTTGAAAAAGAAAATATAAAAATTATAAATTTATTTTTTGAAGAACTCTGTTATTTCTTGAATGACAGTGTTAGATATGCTCCCCACTAAGAACCAATTGATGTCGTTTGACATGAACATTGATGGTATATGTGTCCTGTGTTTAAATGAGATTGAATCTAGGGACCACATGTTCTTTGATTGTTGTTATTCTAGGAGGGTTTGAAGGAGCATCTTATCGGCTTGTAATGTGACGAGGCAGATCATGCATTGGATGCATGAGCTCGGTTAGGCTTGTTGTAATGCCAGGGAAAATCTATGTTTTGGCTTATATTTTTCACTTGGCTTGGAACTGTGTCATTACGTTGATTTGGAAGGAAAGGAATTGCAGAATTTTTTAGGGGAAGCAGTGCTCAGAGGAAGCATTGGTAGATCGTTTAACGGAGATGATTCGTGTGAAGGTTAATGGTATGAAAGCCTGTAAAGTGAGTCAATTAGATACTAAATCTTAACTGACTGTCTCTTTAGAGAGAAAATAAAGTTCAATACTACGCACCGTAAGTCACAAGCTCGATACCCGCCATCAGACGTCACCATAAATGAGAAAAATATGGTGACGTACGTACATTGTACAGTGCAGAACAAGGTTGTGTTATCATCGGCTCTATTTCCACCAATCTGGAACTCAACCTTCTTCTACTTCTGTGTAAAGCAAGTTGGAAGCTTGTGTTTTACCTATCTCCATAACGTATTGACGGTATCTTCCTTCTTTGGAGGGAAGTACTTTCTGGAACTGGAAATGATGGAAACATTCTTGAGCCAGTTCCACATTCCAAGCCATCGGTCCTTTGGAAATTGATGCAACTGACTGACCAAATAACCTGCTTCCAATGCCTCTTTCATAGAGAAGAAAATTGAGAATTCAGTGTAGTCAATTTCATCCTCGTCGGGGAGCTCCATTATTCATTTAGGATACAACATTCAAAATTCACATGTATCTAACCTTACTGCTCTTTGCACCCAGTGAGAAGAAAGATTGAAGAAGCTTAATGACGGTCAAACAGTCTCCCTGTATTCATTTAGAATACAACATTCAACATTCAACATTCACATGTATCTAACCTTGTCATGATCAGTTGATTGGGTGCCCGACTATACTTGATTAGATGTTGATAGAATAGTTTCCATTTGGTTCATACCAGGGGAAGGATTTTCCTTGTCATCTGTTGCTGGCACAAGAGTATCCATTACTGAAGATCTGTTGTTGTTAATCCATTTGCTTCATTTCCTTTCATATTCGATCGTATATAGTCCAAAACAATCAATGACAATTCTTTTTGTTAAGAAAAACGAATGTTTCCAAGAAAAATATTTTTCGTATCTGAAAATGATTTCAACATCGAAAGGAGATCCATGAAGTCGTTAAGTAACCTTTGGACTTTTTACTCGATGCCATTGCAGGAAGAATGTTTTCTCTTAAAACATGGAATACATCAATAAATATTTCACTAACCATTTGAATGGTTGAATATCAATAAAGTTTAACACTTAAATGAAACGAAATCCAGAATTTCAACTACACTAAACAAGGGTGCATTGTCAACAAATATCTGCAAGACAAGCTTTTAAGACCTGAACCACAACCACAACAGCTATAAGAAATATCAATCGACCGATATCGGAACTCGGAAGGCAATATACAAAATTTGCCACTTTTGGCATACTGGAATTGATCCCATTACATCCTCGAAAAACCAGTCCCTGAACTAATAATGTCATTAAACAAATGCAAAAATGCGACGGAATGAACGATAGTAATTTAATAATGAAAAGAGAATTACTAACATTAATTACAAAACTTGGCTGATAAATCACTCAAAATGATTAACAGCTAGATTAATCAACCTCCATACCAGAAATGGCTTCCTCTAGAATCATTTGAAGCTCCATCACTCTTTGCCGTGTCAATGCAATGCAGTCCTGCAACCATGGAAGCCATTTTTCGTATCAGCTTTTGGCCCAGTTTTAGTTCATTATAACTTTAATATGAGTCTGTATCGAAACAAATCATACAGAAAATGCTTCAGAACACCAAAAAGGTAAATCTTTCTACTATTATCATGCGATTTCTCGGAAGTCTAAAGCATGTCAACCTACATCCAAGGAAATGACCTTCAGATCAAATATCGGAGTCCAAGGCAGCTACTAAAGTTAAAGGTGAAAAACATCCCATGATAAAACCAAAAAACTTAACTGTATTATGCTGCTAAAGCATCGGCAAAGATTCTACATTTAATTAGAACATTTTATTGCCAGACTTTAAAATTTCAACAGACCTGGATAGCAGATGTATATGCTAGAACTGGTCCACCTGGTTTATAAAGCGATACAAGTTGACTAGATGAATCTAAAACCACAGTTACAGACGTCTCCATAATAGACTCTTCCTCGGCGGTAGGATCTGCCAAAATGTAATTCTTGTGAAGTATACATGTCAGTGAAAACGGAATGCTGCCCAGGTTCACTTTTCTCTTCTCCTTATTGACTGGCTCCCTGTCAGATAGTCCTTGTTCCTCCGATAAAACTATTTTTCCATCATCGTTGAGAGATACTACCGGGATTTCCACTTGAAGAAAATTTTCATAAATTAAGACAATTAGAATAAATTTACTTATAAGGAGTAAGGACCAGTGCTGAACTTGAATCCTGAATCTAGAGTATATCACCATCCAACACAAGCCAAAATTTGCATCACTAGAAAGTAGAAACTAGAGAAGTTATGGCAAAAAAAAAAAACACGCTAAATATTAGTCACTCGAAAACCAATCTATTAGTCAACATTAAAGCTGCAACGGAGTAGCAAGACCTGATAATATAGACAGGCTATGCATGAAAATACAAGGTAGACAAGATTAAAATAAGTTTGAAATATTTAAGCTCTTACTCAACCATGACATATTAGAAAAACAAATTACACGCATAACATGTAGTTGACCTCACGTCCTATCTTAAAAGTAATTCCTTAGGCGGTGCATAAAATTTCTCTTAAAAAGAATAAAGGATTTCACCATTGCAATTTTCCACTTCCCATTTTTGATTTCATGGAAAAGGTAAGTGGTTTTGGGCAAGTATTATTATATTTAGAAGCACGGGTGAAACACTAACAATAAGAAAATGCAGCAACAGCTGCAAGTAATGCAGCATCGAAAAGAGCACCATCAGCATACAAACAGTAAATGTCCTGTAAAAAAGAGAGAATACTATGTTACTTCCATATTCAAGGATACGAAAGGCACTATGACACTACTTGAATTTCCATATTATCTTGCTTGAACACTAAATGGCTTGTGTTCAAACTCTTATACAGATTGTTAAGACATTTTAAAACCACAATCACCTACCAAATAGGCCATCCAAGCAGCTTTTCCACTAACCAAGGACAGTTCCTTCAAATTAATCATGCCAGAGCTGTAGTTACACATGTGACAAGATGTTTGAGAAAATAATTATCAAGAAAAATGAATCAAAGTGGAACAGTTTTCAAACAGAACATATTATAAGTGTGAAGAGCATCAGAGGAAACAAAACCACCAACAAATTAAGATAAAATAACTGAGCAGTGTGCTTAAGCGGATAGAAAGAAACAGAAAGGCAAACTCAAAGTTTCAATATTCAAGACTCAAATACCCAGTTAACCACACCAGTAATCATGAGTAAACATGAAGGTGAAGATGAATATAAGAATTGAATCCACACAAAGACAAAACAAATTGGTATGCCTTAGAATAGTGTCAGATAATTGCTTTGCCACAACTGGTGCTGCCTCAGCCGGTCTGCCAGGCCTAACAATTGGAGGCATGTGGAAATCAATTGCTGAAAATGAGAGAAATTACAAAAAAAAATGGAAGATAAAAGATAGGTTTTGAGAAAAGAAAGAGAGATAGTAAAGAATGAAACTTATGGCAGCCAACCTATACAACCCTCATCAGGTGTTTCCAACGAAGGGGTCATGACTTCCATTTTGATAGCAGCCAACATCGTCTATGCAACACAAGAAACAAATTATCAACTCCAGGCTTAATTGCTTGGCAACGTAAAGCAGCATGTATTTAGAGAAAGTGATAAACTTACAGTTGAACCAATTTTTGCATTTGCTGAACCATTAGCAGATGCAACGGCCCCTAGAGATTAGAGGAATCAGCTCAGGCATGAAAAGAAAATTATGTCACAGAAAAGTTTCATAGATGTTTCCTTTTTTTCCTTTACTAACCAAGGGCAATGTAGTATCTCTTGCTCTCCCGAGTGGTCGAGCATCAGGTCGTATAGATTCTAAAAGATGTTTCTCAAAGAAACGTAGAGGAAAGAGGCGTCTGAAAGCATCTAACTCTACTTCGGTCGACAAGTCCCCACTCGCATTTGGTAATCCCATCAATCTACCTCCTTTTGATCGAAAAAGGAACAAAAGGAACGTAAACAAACCAAACAACTTGAAAATACCAAAAAGAAAACTTGAAAATACCAAACAACTTAAGCATAACAATCTCAAACAACACCATATTACTTAATTCTACCAACTATAAAAAAATCAATCTTCTTCCTCTAGATCTTCACAATTGGTATTACATAACTGAAGTTGCAATCCAGTTGAGCGTAGTCCGAATAGTGGTAAGCTCGAACTTGATCGAACATCAATTTCTAAGCTTGCAAAATCGAAATTGATGAAACTAGTATATCAATTTTTGTATTCAAACTTGAACTTAAACTCAATTAAATGCATTCATATTCAAGCTGGAATCAATTGTCTTTTCCATAAATAATTAATGCATTAACATTACAAAATGATAAAAATAAAAAGCCTTTTTTCAATAACCAAATCAAACGTCCTTAAGTATCTTCTCTTGGAACTGCCATACCTTCTCTAGAAACTAAAACTTACCCATTAAAAATCACATCTTTTTAGTCAAAATGTACAAACAAGTAGAAACACAGAAGACAAGAAGCAACATTGGGAATCAAAACCCTTAAACGAAAAAAAGAAGAAATAAACCGCAGTGCTACTTGGCCCGGGAACGAATGTCGGAGAAGACAAGCTAACGTAGTTGGCGGATCTTTGCTTTTGAAAATAGGATGGGGCGGCTAAAGGACGTGGGAAAGAATTGAGCGGCTGTCGATGGGGGGAAATTTTTTAAATTAGGTTAGGGCTCATAATATATATAAAAATATAATTTAACTCGACTGATTATGTAAATAATTAGGTGACCCTATTTCATATGTAATGGAGTAAGGAGAAGGTAGGATAGTAGGTTGCCCTCAACGCCAGGTTGAGAGCAGCTTCCGTGGGAGACCTCCGGCAGTCAGAAATTATGAATTGTCCACCGTAAGACTCGATTCCACGACTACAAGGTTAAGAGCCTTGTGCTACTGTTTCGACTGATTAAGTAAATGAAATTATAATTTTTTTACCATTAATTTTTGAAGTCGCGCATTTTTAGTTAACAATTTATTAATATTTCAATTAGTTAATATAACAATAAATATAAATTTTTAATATTACAGAAACTCCAATGACCTCGGTAATAAAGAAATTGTTATTATTATTTGAGGTCCAGAGTATAAGCACTAGGACTACCAAGGGTACAACAGTTCAATATTAAATGGTTAAAAGTTATCTTTAAACAGATACTACCTTAAAATCATTTTTTTATTTTTAACATGAAATTATTTTATTGACAAAATGACTTGTATCTTATTACATTATTTTATTATAAATTAATTTTTTAATATTTTTTATAATTTTAAAATTATTTACTAATATAACATATAAGAAAATAATATCGTGTCAACAATGATATACACGTAGGGGTGGGAATAGGTCAGGCCGGCCTCCAGGAGCCTACGGCCTGGCCTACTTAAAGCCTGGCCTGACCTGGTATATTTGATAAAAAGGCCAGGCTCGAGTTTTTTTAAAGGCTTGTTAACTTAAATAGGCCAGGCTTAGGCTTATTATAAAGCCTGATAGGCCTGATAGGCCGGCCTATATAAATATGTATATACACTGTACGCATCAATTTTTTACCCTTAAAATATATTATATAAATTATTTTAAAATGCCAAAAGGCCATACCTGCTGTCCAAGCACCACCCACGAGCAGACAAAGATTCAACTCCCCATGCAGCCACCCATGCTCCACGTGAAAGAACACCAGTATTGGTCTTGCCAATTCCCACATGCTTATAAGACTATAATATATTATAAGCCTAGAAAGCTACAACTAATAAATATATTATAAGCCTATAAAGATAATATATACAACAACTAATATATATTATAAGCCACTCATGCCCCACCCCAACATCTAATATATATTGTACGCAATTTTTTTGGAACAACAAAAGTGGAGGAAGTATTTAATCAGGCTTTTAATCAGGCCAGGCTTTTAAAAAGGCCAGGTCGAGCCGAAAAAAAGCCTTTGACAGGCCACAGGCCAGGCTCAGGCTTATCAAATTCTTCGTAGGCCAGGCTCAGGCCTATCAAAGCCTGGCCTGGCCTGGCCTATTTGTTGGTTTTTGGCAAAAGTCCCACATTGGTTGTGTATAAGGAGGAGGGGAAATTCTTTTGTTATAAATAAAGCCCTCCTCCTCCTTAGTTAATCATCCCACAAATATAAGCCTTCTTCTATTTTAAAGGCTATTTGTATTCTTTCTCTCTTTGTAATATTTCCTCTATTAGTGAAATATTTTGGTGTTCTCTTTTATGTCTATTTAATAGCTATTGTCGGGTATAGTTGTTGTCAATTATTGTCCTATTAAAATTACTTGTCTTGGTAGTTCTGTCTAAGGAAAGTGGGTTTTAAGAGGGACCATTGTGACCCCTCATCTTTCCTGGGAATCTACCTTGGGGTGATTTTTAGTACAATCGTTTTCACACTAGTCACCTAGATAATAGTTTTCAAGGTGAATCTGTTATTGGTGGAAATTAACCCGAATTCCACAACAATTGGTATCAGCGCTCTTGGTTTATTTTAGTATGCTCTGTGGTTGCGGCTTAGGCTAATCTTCCACATCAGAAAAATTTCCTTGGGATAATTGACATTCTGCATTGGCAGCTATTAAATAGAATTTGTAGCAGAAATGGCAGACGCTTCTTCATCTTCAATTTTGGCAAGAAATGCTGTGACAAATGTTAGATTTGCAGTGGAGATTTTTGATGGCACCGGTCATTTCGGCATGTGGCAAAGCGAGGTTCTAGATGCCCTATTTCAGCAGGGTCTAGACATTGCTATTGAAGGAGAGAAACCAGATGATGTTGAGGAGAAAGAATGGAAGAGGATCAATAGAATGGCATGTGGTACTATTCGATCGTGTCTTTCTAGAGAGCAGAAGTATGCATTTTCTAAGGAAACTTCTGCAAGTAAATTGTGGAAGGCACTGGAGGAGAAATTTTTGAAGAAAAGCGGTCAGAACAAACTCTACATGAAAAAGAGACTGTTCCGCTTCAACTATGTACCAGGTACCACTATGAATGATCACATTACTAGCTTTAATCAGCTGGTGACTGATCTGATGAATATGGACGTGACTTTTGAAGACGAAGATCTGGCTCTGATGTTGATGGGATCACTTCCTGATGAGTTTGAGTATCTTGAAACTACTCTACTTCATGGGAAGGTTGATGTGTCTCTCAGTGAAGTAACTGCTGCCTTGTATAGTTATGAATTGAGAAAGAAAGACAAACAAGAAAACACAAGTGTCGAAGCAGAAGCTCTTGTTGTTAGAGGCCGTTCCAAGAGTCAGAATAAAGGAAGCAGAGGGAGATCGAAGTCAAAGTCCAGATTGAGTAAAGATGAATGTGCCTTTTGTCGAGAAAAAGGGCACTTGAAGAAAGAATGTCCCAGGCTAAAGAATAAAGGCAAACCTGAAAGGGGGAAGGCTGTCTCAGAATCAAATGTGGTCGAGTATGATGATGGAGATTCAGATTTCGCATTCGCTGCTACGCCATCAACCAGCTGTTCCAGTTCATGGCTGTTAGATTCAGCTTGTAGCCACCATATGACCCCCAATAGAGAATGGTTCTTTGATTTTAAAGAACTAAAAGGTAGAATTGTCTACACAGCAAATAATTCACCTCTTGACACACTTGGGATTGGTTCAATTCGCTTGAGGAATCAGGATGGATCAATCAGAACCTTAACAGGTGTCCATTATGTACCAGATTTAATGAGAAATCTCATCTCTGTGGGAACCTTAGAGTCAAAAGGTTTAGAAGTGAGGGCAAAAGATGGGATTATGAGGATTATCTCTGGTGCACTGGTGATAATGAAGGGAATCCGAAAAAGAAACAATGTGTATTACTTTCTGGGTAGTACAATTGTTGGGACAGCAGCAGTGGCAGCTTCTACTGATGAACAGGAGTCAGAAGCAACCAGGTTATGGCATATGCGCTTGGGGCATGTTGGTGAAAAATCCTTGAAATTACTGATAGATCAAGGATTATTGAAGGGTGATCGGGCTTGCAAATTAGCTTTTTGTGAGCATTGCATCAAAGGGAAGAAGACGAGGGTGAAATTTGGAACAGCAATCCATGATACTAAAGGTATTTTGGATTATGTTCATTCAGATGTATGAGGGCCTTCCAAGACAACTTCATTGGGAGGAACACACTATTATGTCACCTTTGTTGATGATTTTTCCCGGAGAGTTTGGGTGCATCCAATGAAGACAAAGGATGAGGTGCTAGGATTTTTCCTTAAATGGAAAAAGATGATGGAGACTCAAACAGGCAGAAAAATCAAACGTCTCCGTACAGACAATGGTGGAGAGTACAAAAATGATCCATTTCTGAAAGTCTGTGAAGAGGAAGGTATTGTTAGGCACTTCACTGTCAGAGGTACACCACAACAGAATGGAGTGGCAGAGCGTATGAACCGGACATTAGTGGAGAAGGTTCGGTGTATGTTGTCTAATGCTGGGTTAGGCAAAGAATTTTGGGCTGAGGCTTTGGTCTATGCTTGTCACCTTGTCAACCGCTTACCATCGACTGCTATTGTGGTAAAACACCATTAGAGAAATGGTTTGGAGTACCTGCTACAGATTATGATTCCTTACATGTGTTTGGTTCCACTGCATACTACCATGTTAAGGAGTCAAAGCTGGATCCAAGAGCAAAGAAGGCGATTTTTATGGGGATCACCTCTGGTGTGAAAGGCTATCGTCTTTGGTGTCCAGAAACAAAGAAAATAATCTTCAGCAGGGATGTTACCTTTGATGAATCTACCATGTTGAGAAAGGTGACTTCAGAAAAATTGGAGCAGACAGATGGAACTCCCAAAAAGGTGGAGTTTGAAGGAAGCAAATTTGTCCCAACCAGTAAAGAAAATGATGTTGACTCTCCTATGGTAGAAGAAGAGTCAGATGAAGAAGAGGTTCAGA